TACAAATTTATGGCTCTCATTTACATCTTTTAAATTAAACTTATTAGATCTCTCCCTCCTACAAAATATTAATCTCATTACTTGAATGGTACTCTCGAAAAATTTCGGAACATTAATCACTGCAAATTTAAATGCATTTATGCTCACATAGTAAATTTTTTGGCATAATTCATTGCATTGAACTCTATCACATTATTCTCGGCATTTTTTTGTACATTTGATGTACACAACTTAAATTGCATTCTTCAGAACAAAGCTCACAAATATCTCCACATTTTTATTAAGGACACCTAGAATGCCGCATTCGAATAGCAAGAATATCTATCGACTTGTTGAAACGAAGCACATTCCTAATACCAGATACTGACTGAAAGTAATTGCTATAATATTTTTTACTAATGCTATTAGCCCTAAGAGATAGCAGCAAACTATTCTCCTAAAAAGTGAAACATTGTATCGAAATAATTCAAATCAGATGATATACTAGCTACTGTCTCCATGAATATTAATTTGTCAGAGGATATACTCTATTACTCTATACTTGGTCGGTTCTGGTAAAATATTTAATCCTATCTATATTTAGGCTTATGGAACATCACTGACGTTAAATGTTGGGTTCTGATTTTGTTAAAATTTTTATTCCTCTTCATACTAATACCCTTTAAATTAATGGTTTTATATTTGGGATCTATTCTCTTAAGTCTTTATTGTTTACTAGAGTTACTAAAGAGCTTTAAGCTAACTTGTTTAGTTGATCTCCATCCAATAAATTAAAAGTTAAGTTTGCTAAGTCTCAATAACTTAATCGCCATCACTTTATTCAAGAATGCCAATATGAGTTTGTTGGGATTCTTCGAACTCTTCATCATCATTACTGCTTCCATGTCAGAACATCAAATGTGTATTTAATTAAACTTGCTAAGCAGTATTCTTTGATTTTAATTTTCTCTCTATTATATATTACTTTGGTATATTTTTGTTCTGATTAAATAATATTTATAAAATTTACAACAAAATTCATACAAACCTAATTATCGAAATAAATTCATAATAAAACTTGAACAGTTAAAAATGCTAAAAAGATTAAAAAAGAACTAATATTTTTAAGCAGAGATTTTCATTCCAGATCTGCAAAATAACATGAATCAATAAAGATCTATACTTTGCTTTGGTAGCTTTATTTTTCTTTCTAATTTTTGGCTTTCTAGCAAATCTCATAAAATTTCTCAATAAAATACTAGCAGCATGATAATTAATTGGGATAGAGGAGGTAACTTTATGAATCTTAATATAATATTAAGGAAAAATTACTAATTAAAATCTTTGGAATTTGTTATTTAAAGATTAATTTAAAGGTTAAACAAAGAAAATTATGAGTAATTTCCATGGATCCTCGTGGGGAGGTACTGCAATAAACTTTATTCAATTTTTGAAGGATGTGAATTTGATAAATACAAATTTCTTAAAAAGCTAAAAACAATTTGAGAAGTCTATTTTTAGGCTAATAATTTATAAGAATAATGAAGTCTGGGAATATTTTTAACAAAAAAAATAAAACAATATTGATACAATACTTTCCTTAAAATATCAAATATTAGAAATAATGCTACCAAAGCAGGCCATTATTTCAGATATTCAACTGAATAATGCTAAGCTGCAAAAAGAATCAGATTCAATTTAATCATTAATTAGAGGATGATCTAAAAGTTTGATGAGAAATAATAAAAAGTTGAGGGATTAGTACCATTTAAATATATCAAGAAATATTTGGAAGAATCTTCAACCAACAAACTCTCTGGGTGACTGTTAGAGATGAATCAATAACTTTTGAAGTGGGTGAATATCAACATGAGAATAATAAATAGGATTGAAATATAGAAACATAATTCATACTTGGAGTTAAAATGATAATAAAAATGTATCTCAAAATTAATGACTATTTAATCTGGGGTTTTATGACTAGATAGTTTTAGATTCTCATTTTCCTATACAAATAGCAAGATATGTAGGAAAATTCTGAAATTTAATATTCATTGCAAGAAGAAAATTTCGAATCCTCAAAACCTGATAAAATTAAAGCACTTTCACCAACTGCTTAATATAATAGTTACTCACCCCTTTATTGACATAAGGGATAATTAACTGAAGTAAAAAACTTCCAATAGCCTCTTTCTGCCGAATATCAATGGATATTGAAGGATCATAAAGAGGTAGATTACTCTAAGACAGAGGGATAGATTAAAAATAAATGCTATGCTTCTTGATGTTGAAGAAACATATAGTGAGCAGTGTTTTAAATAATTACGAGGTTCACATATAAACTAAGTATCTAATAACGAGAATATCGTCACTGAAAATTGGTACCCTAAACTCTATTCATGGTATAGAATTATAAGCATGCTCTGAAGTAACTCATGGATTTTTATCTTCGAGTAATGGATAAAATGAAAAGGTTAGTGTTTAAACTTTGCGAAATTAACATAGAATTGCCCAGATGAGAAATTCCTTAGCGAGTAATTACACCAAGTATTATTGGCTGATTTATGAAAAGGATCAGAAGAAATGATATGTGATCTTCGATTTAAATATTTTTTGGTTTGAGCTCAAAGTAATATGTGCCAGATCCAGAAACTGCATATAAAATTAGGAGATTTTGAAGACTGGGACTTCATATAGATTTACTTCAGACCTAAGACTAGAAAAGAATGTAAGTTAACGCCTGATAATTTCATAATTCTCTTTATCCACACAAATATAAGTGATGTTTATAAACCCTAATTATCAATAAAATCAATCAATTAACAATTCCCAATATACTTAAAATAATTATACTTATGGGGTTTTGGGGTTTTGGGG